TTTAAATTTGCATCAGACTGGAACATTATTTAAAGAACAAAATAATTGATGCTTTGTACTTAAATAGTAGATTTGGCTGAATTCACACCCATCACACCTGGTGCGCTGCGTTGCCCTGCATGGCATTAAGGTAGCCAATTCAAATGAATGAGCTGCCAGCGCTCCATCACAGACAAAAAAGCAATGCAGTTTCCACACTTCATTATTCGTATGTTCACTTTGGGTGTATATATAAAAATTAGCAGAGCTATTCGTCCTGTAAAACTACATGTGCTTTCGTTCTGTGCAAATGGGGACAACATTGAACATTATTAGGCTATTTTCTCTCCAGGTTGAGTGTTCTTGATATATAGTGAATCAGGAAAATACTGCATTATGGTCACTAGATGGAGCAGCAAATCATAGGAAATAAGTGCTTATTTCTTATGATCATCAGCCACATCTAGTCCCCACAATGCAATATTTTCTCAATTAATTTTAGGCTCCATGTACACTGCAGCTGATAAACTCACGTTTAGGAGCTTTTCTGCGTTTTTTTCAGCAGCCCCTGAACTCTCCCTAATGTTTTCCTATGTGTCCATGTGCACATCGTCGTTTACAAGCAGTTGACTTTACAGTCCCTTTTTTGAACGCACCAAACTTGCATTCAGGAATAGATTTTATCAGCGTTTCAAACGCCAAATGCTTGTAAACGCGGCAAACCGCGTTTATAAGCGTTTGGAAAATGGTTTTAACTCTTTAATTTCCAGATGCTGTCCAGAGCCTTTTTTCATCATGAAAAATGCATGCAAAGCATTTTCCCAGCACTCAAGTGGACCCGATACACCATACTTTGAGGTTTCGCGTGAAAGAAAATATGTTAGACACTGCTGCAATAATGTCTGCACAGAAATGAGCTGGAACACATCCAAACACCACAAAAAAACAAAACAAAAAAAAACAGCTAATCTCAACAAATACTGCTCTCTCTGCTTCTGCTCTCTCTATTTCTCTCAAAATGTCTGAAATAGTTAATTTTTTACTGTTTTTCAGTGCATTCTGGGCATTTTGGAAGGTCTTCTGAGGTTATCTTTAAAAAACACACTTTTAAACGGAAACGCTCATAAACGTGCATAAACGCAGTAAGCAAACGCAACTAAACAGACGTTTTTTAACCTACATTTTCCAGCAGTCAGTTTCCAATGTTCAGAAGCGTTTTCCAAACGTCCCGTGTACATGGAACCTTATTCTGCATGAATAAAGTACATTCGACCTGGAGAGAACAGCCTTAAAACATTCCATGTTGCCCCCATTTTCACAGACCAAATGTACAGTACATGCAAATTCACAGGAGGAATACCTCTGCAAATTATTTATAAAGACACCCAAATGAATGCACATACATTGCAATACAACATGATTCATAAGCTGCGTTTTCTGGTCTGTTCAGGAGTTCTGGCAGCCCACTCATTTGGGTGTCAATCCAACTGAATCCACTATTTGAGTACAAAGTGTCAGTGTGACAGTGGATTGCTGTGATCCTAAAGCAGTGCTAAACCCTGCTATTCTTTACAGCCAAAGAAGCTGCCATCTTAGCCTCTGTTTGATCTGCAGCTACCATGGTGCTGCACATGCAGTCAGTTATGACACCAGCCATTTGACGACTTGAGAGCACAAGCAACTGGGACAGTTATCTTTTAGGCATGTTTTGAATGTAACCGTTTTGGGAAACCATTAAATCAATGGGTTTAGTTCCACTTTAAGAAAAAAAAAAAGCTTAATTGATTTAAACAAGTCTGTTTAGCACACTGAGAAGCAGGTTTGGTTGTCAGGGCAACTAACGCCATTATCAATTGTCCACGCTGAATGAACCAGGAATGTTGCCATGGAGATACAATTTCATTTGCTGTCTCATGCTGAATGGTTTACTGCATAAACAGCTACGTCATGGGAGAGTATAAGTGCATTTACACGGAAGAGCGGAATGCGATTATGTTATATGAACGAAGGTCAGCTGTCATGGTGTACATATAGGTAGGAGTCTGGATGATGGAATGTATTCAAATGTACACATTTCAGCTGGGAAACATCGTATTGCATATAGGTTGAGGCTCCATCAGCACCCGTAAGACGTGCACTGTCAGCATGGCTTATACTGGATATCTGTGCAGCAAAAGTGGATTAATTCTGCAGTAACCTGGATAGATGCTGAAAGGTATTTCACAGTGCCAGGCCCAGAGACAAGAGGATCAGCAGAAATAGGGAAAGACACACTGGTTCATTACCTCCAATACTGCATTTTCAGAACACAAAAAGTCCTTTTTGTTTCACACTGTCCTTGAAGCATATTCTTCTATAGTTGCAATATTCAAAAGAATAGGGATCTAGCAGGGGGACACACAATCACAAACACATGAATATAAAGGATTAGGAGTTTAGCAGCCGAGTGCAGAGATGAACTCTGCAGAGCTTTACATGTGGAGCACAGACCTGCTCTGCCTACGCAAAGTTGAAGCACAGACCTTATACTCCAAAACCTGTCCCATACAAAATGTACTGTATACAGATTGTGCACCATAGTACATCATCTGTAATGATAACCTGCGTGCACAGAAAAAAAATATATATTAGCTTTGTGTATAATATGACATACTGCATATTAGTACATGGGATTCAACTATATATTAAAGGGGATCAGTACATAAATCCTGCATGATTGGGTTCAGACAGTCAGAGCAATTAATTTGCTGCTTACTACTACTAGGGCAGGGACTTAGCACGTCTGTTCATATAAGACATTAATAACAATAAGACACCCTTAAAGCTGAACACCAGATATTGTCTTTAGTATACACTTACATTGGTCCAGCTTGGCATTCTCCAAGCTGGACCAATGGTGGAGGTGAAGAGAGGCAGTGATGTCACAATCTGTACCTCTCTTACAGTGGTCCAGCTTGGCATTCTCCAAGCTGGACCAATGGTGGAGGTGAAGAGGGGCAGTGAGTGATGTCACAATCTGTACCTCTCTGGTCCTGCAGTGGTCCTGCTTGACATTCTCCAAGATGGACCAATGTGGATGTGTGGATGTGAAGAAGAGGGGCAGTGATGTCACAATCTATACCTCTTCTGATCAGAGAACGCCTTGTAGTAACTAGAAAAAAAGATACAAGACATTCAGTTTATGGCAGTGGTGCCAGGTGAGCAATCCCTATGAGTAATATAGATGGGAAGCCGCTTGGCACAGGACCCAGAGGATGGCTGCTATTGTCAGCTTCCCCATCAACCCCTCAGGGTATGAGATGTGCAATTTTACAAAGCCAAGCTGCACTAATGTATGTAAAAAATGCAGACTATACCTGGAATTCAGCTTTAAGTAGATTGGAGCCCGTTTACAGACTTTTTTTTTTTTTTTTTATAAATTAATGCCGTGTCCTTGTTGGGGAGATTCACCCTCACTTCCTGTCCAAGGGAGAAAACTTTGTCAAACACACACTAACAGCAATAAAATCACCTTTATACGTAGACTGGAAAGGTTCAACGGAAACTGTCAGATTTTATTGCTGTGGCCAGCACTTTTGGTCTTGTTGACACACTGGGAAGGAAAGTGAGGGTAAGGCCTCAGGCACACAGGGTGTCCTGTTTAGCCCCTCTGGACGTGTTTTCTCCTGGCAGCAGAAAAACAGAGGTACTTTTACAGGCTGAAAAAGAAAAAAAAAGCCGCATTTTTTTTCTGCCCAGTTTGCATAAGCCTCAAATCTTACCAAATGGGGACACAGACAATAACAAATCCCTGACAGTAATAAATCTGCCGGAAATGTAGGCCCTATCAAAACAGTGGGGGAATTAACAAAGAGTGGCACAAGTATGAAGCCTGCACTACTCTTCTAAACTTACAAAACGGAGCAGATGCTGCTCCTTGTTAGTAAAAGAGGCACACACCCCTTTGTTAATCCGGACTGATCTGCTCCCTGTTCTATGCCGTGTCTGTGACAGACCCAGCACAGAACAATACAGCTGGAGCTGCATGCTATAGATGCCACTGTCCATTTTTGCTCCCCTGAGATCAGGAGGGAGGAGGAGAGCTGTCTGCAGATTCCAGGTTCAACCTGGTGGTGATCTACAGCAGTTTTCTTTATTGAAAACTGACGCAATCCCTTTGTTAATTAGGAGCAGGCCCTGTGCCAGTTTCTGTTTCACTCTGAAACTAAGTTGGCGTGGGTGGCTCTGACAGACTTGAAACAGTTGATGCAGTACATGCCACAAACACCATTTTCCTGCGCCTTTACCAGAGTGTACTTGTCTAGAAGAAAGTACCGATAACCAGGGACTTCTAAACTCTAGGAGGGATGCGCAGAATTCTGCAGTAACTGAATTGCTAATATATAGTGCTCAGAAACCTAATGCATCAATAAATAAGTGTCGTGTATGTTAGTCACTGGTCTGGTGACTAAGAATGCTCAGAGAATGCTACTGAATTATACGTATTGTAGCTACTGAAATATACTGTATGTATAGTAAAAACCTTCCCAGGCTATAGCATTCTAAATAAGTGCAGGGAGAGAAGGATGAATGTATATATATTATAAATATATGAGTAGCTAGTGTTCAAAGAGAACGCGGTCTGTTCGCGAGCAGCCATCATTTCCAGGCAGTGTGAAAAATACTCAGATGAAGAGTCACCGGAGTGCAGAGATTAGTGTAAAGGCTGTATTATTAGGCTTCTTAGGTTACCCTCAGTTGTGAGATGGATCAAAAGATCCGTCTGCTGAACAATTGTTCTTCAGAACAATTGTGGCACAAAGCTGCACACTTGTATCAGCCAAGCGTGCATGTTTCATGCACTGAGCAGACATTCATGTCACAGAGGAATAAAAAACCATCAGCTAGGACAAGCCAACCAGGGCAATCAATTCTTCCCACAAGGCTGAAGGGGTTTCCGTGCCCATAGATTTGTAGTTATTTTCCGATCAATCAGCTAGAATGGGTGCAGATCTTCTCGTATCCATGGGCACTTGTATTAATCATTTTCCCCCTGGCCCCTTTCCAGCGCTGATATCTTGCTTGGTTCTCTGAATGCGATTAAAGATTTCTTTAAACAGAGCCTTGTATTCTGGTTGACTCTGTTCCAGCCTCCGGTCGGCAGCTTCTAGCTGTAGTGTGAGTGCTCGTTCAGGTTCTACTTCCTCTGCTGGGAGATCCCTGCTCGAGTTGTCCCGTGACACCGGACGAGAAGTCTGCACTCCAGTATGGCAAAGGCTGTCTTCATGTCGTCTACATTTTGCCAGCAGTTCTTCATAACGTTCCAGCAAGGCATGATACTGCTCATCCACTTCTCTTAGGATAGACATACCGCGGCGTCTCGTGCTGTTGGCGTGAAGAGTGTAATTGCCTTCATGTCGGCTAACAGCGTCCCTTCCCACAATGTCACTCAGCGCCGTGTCACTGCAGCTTTTCCTGACAGCGGAGTTTGCAGGGGTCTGATTGCTGCTCAGGTCTCCCTCTCCATCTAAAGGCTCTGGATCATCAGTTTCTGGGGTCTTGTTAAGTGGTTCCAGTAATGCTTGAGACAGGCTATCACCCCGGCCCAGGAGATAACGCTTCACCTGTGTAGAGAAAGGGGTAAGATGATTACCTCTAATTATTACAAATAGAAACCATTGATAAAGAAAGCGCTGCTTATGCTAGACCTTACTCAAATTTTTACACTGTTAGGCCCCATGTACACGGGACACTTCTGAATGATGGAAACTGACTGCTGGAAAGCGTAGGTTAAAAAACGTCTGTTTAGCCGCGTTTTGCATAACGTGTTTATGTGCGTTTGCATTTAGAAGTGTTTTTTAAAGATAAGCACAAGAGAACCTCCCAAATGTCCAAAATGCACTGAAAAGTGGTAAATTATTAACTATTTCAGACTGTTTTAGAGAAATACAGAGAGTAGAAGCAGAGACAGCAGTATGTATTGAGATTAGCTTAGGTATGAGTTGCTCATTAACATTTCTTTTGTTTCCAAGGGTGGGAAAGGTGTCTGGTGGTGTGAGTCATTAAGGTCACCTGGCAGGGGGTCTTCATGAGGAATTTGAGGTGTGAATGGGCATTAACATATCTTTTGTTTCCAAGGGTGGGAGAGGTCTGAGGTGTGAATTGGTCATTACAATGTGTGACAAGCTTGGTAGCAACATCCTGTTTTCAGTGTTTTGTCCATCCGAGTATCTTGAAAACGCCTTGCATGCATTTTTCATGATGAAAAAAGACTCTGGACAGCATCAGGAACTGGAAGAGTTAAAAAAAATTTTGGACGCAAATGCTTATAAACGCGATTTGCCGCGTTTACAAGTGTTTTGCGTTTGAAACGCTGATAAAATCGACTGCTGACCGCAAGTTTTCTGCGTTCAAAAAAACAACTGTAAACTCAAATGCCTGTAAACAAAGATGTGTACATGGACACACAGGAAACATTAGGGTGAGTTCAGGGCTGCTGAAAAAAAACGCTGAACAGCTCCTAATCAGCTGCAGTGTACATGAGCCCTTAAAGTAAATGTCTTGCTGGTCCAAATGAACCATTTCCATAACATTACATTGCAGCTGCTGTGTGCGCTGTAACGTACCTTAGTAGCATCAGCTATATACAGTAAGCAGCACTGGGTTCCGGCAGCAGTACAAGTGACTTTCTGTCACCTGCCAGAACTAGAGCCTGGTCAAGTGTTTCTCCACCATTCAGAAGAAGCCTTGTATTTTTTATCAATAAATAGTCTTCCTTTGATAAACTGAGATGGAAATCATGATGTCATCCACCTGCCTTTCCACCTCACTCAACCCGACTCCCTGTAGTTCTGGCAGTTGAAGTTGGCCGTACAGCTACCGGAACACAGTGCCGTTAAAGCAGAACTTGGATCTAGTGATACGGTGTCCCAGAGCTCCCCGGCCGGCCGCTGACATCTGCAGGCGTCCTGTTTCTGAGTCACGATCGATAAGCTGCATTGATTGGCCAGGTGAGGGTGACGTCACATCCTTGGCATTGCTAAATTTCTACAGTGAGCTGCGCATGTACAAAGGCAGGTAAGTAATTTTAATGCAGAACAGACAAAACATGGCCAGGTGAGGGTGACGTCACATCCTTGGCATTGCTACATTTCTACAGTAAGCTGTGCATGCAGAGAGGCAGGTAAGTAATTTTAATGCAGAAGAAACCAAGCATGGCCGGGTGAGGGTGACGTCACATTCATGGCATTGCTAAATTTCTACAGTAAGCTGCGCATGCAGAGAGGCAGGTAATTTTAATGCAGAACAGACAAAACATGGCCGGGTGAGGGTGACGTCACATCCTTGGCATTGAGGCATTGCTAAATTTCTACAGTGAGCTGCGTATGCACAGAAGCAGGTAAGTAATTTTAATGCAAAAGAGACAAAACGTGTCTTTTTTGCATCAAAAATCCTGCATGTTCGTCCATTTTCTTTTTTAGCTAAAGTTCCACTTTAATGTACCTAGCTAAGGTTACTACAATATATTACAGCACACCCAGTGGCTGCATTCTGTAAGCCTGGGGTCACATATGTGCGGCCCAGTTTTGAGTGTATGACAATAGAAATCGCAACTGAACCAGGATCAAAACTTTTTGAAAACGCGCCGTGGCAGGCCAGCACATATGTGAACTGGCTCCATTGAAAAGGCTGCAGGTTCACATGTCATGTGAATCGGATGTGGTTCAAAGCGCATCCAATTTGCATATATGTGAACCGGGGCTAATTGAGGGCCAGCTTGGCACAAACAAACTATTTAAAGTAACAGGAAATCTGAAATTCTACTTTAAAGTGAAAAGGTGAACACTAACACCCTACATCCTTCCCCCCCCCCCATGCTGTACTTTCCTCCATGGATGATTAAATTTCACTACCCATGCAGCCGGAGCAGCAGTCCAGGATTTGAAAGCCCCACTCTTCTTCCCCTTCAGGGGCAGACTGACCATTCGAGCACTCAGGCACTGCCCGAGGGCCCGGGGTCAGTAGGGGGCCCCATGAAATGCCCCTGTTACCTTTTTATAGGCTTTTTTAGGTGTGCTTTGAGTGTAGGCAAAGACACAGGGGCCCCATGATCCCCTATTGCCCGGAGGCCCCATGAGTTGTCAGTCCGCCCCTGTTCCCCTTCTTTCCTTAGGTATGCTGGGATGGATCAGAGTGATTCCATTTGGTCAAAGAGGTCAGATGCCATCAGTTGACCAATCATAATAAGACCACAGCTAAAGAACCACGGAGGTTAATACAATGAGGACTGAGCGGATGAAGGTCAGGGGAGGGGAAACGGAGGGTTGGAGAGGGTGTTGGGTGTTAGTTCTGCTTTTTGTTTTTTGTGAAAAGGTGAACTTACACTTTAGGCTACATGTATTGATATGGATTGTTCAGACCAGTTAAACAGCTTGGATGGATGAATTTCCCCTGCTGGCTATTGGATTCTGTCAGCTGACACCCGAAGCTGTCAGAATACTTGAATGGTGACTACTTCTGATTAGATGCAGTTGTTGTTCCTCATATCTATGGCAGCCTTTACTGGCCTCTGAGGCAGGCTCACTAGACACTGAAATAGCAGATTATAGGGCTTAGCTATGAATCAGTGAAAGCCAGGCACAAATGTTTTTTTCTGGGTTAAAAAAAATAACAACGGGGAGCCTGTTCTTAGGTAAGCACTTGCATTTAAAAACTTTAATATGGAGAAAAGGCTCACTGTAACCGCCACTCACACCTGAGATCGAAGCTCCAAAATGCTCAACAGCCTAATCTCATGCTTTCAATTGTCCATGTACACATCTAAGCATTCAAGTGTCTGTACTTCAAAAAAGGTGCATGAGCTACTTTTGGAGAAGAATGGGTCACTTCTGGCCTCACTGACGAGTGTGCGCATGCATGTTACGTGCATTTTTCAGACTCTTACATAATAAAAGTCTATGTAAGAGATTCTGTCCAAATGAAGCTTCTGTATAGCACTTTACTTCTAAAAATGGGTGAAAAATGAAAACAAAAAGCCTCAAACTTGCCTATAAATTTTCTGTTCAAGTGTAAATGCCCCCATTCACACTTGAACGGAACATTTGTGGGCAAGTTTGAGGCTTTTTGTTTTCATTTTTCACCCATTTGCAACTTGAAAAAAAAAATAAATTAACCTTTAGAATCGCTTTAAGCCCCCTTAAAGCAATTCTAAAGGTAAATTTTTATTTTGTTTGTAAAATAACACAGAGCAGCCTGGATTCTCCTCGTCTCGGGTACCCCGCAGGCTCTCCTGGATCCTACTGTCTGTTGGGTACCTCTACAGCAAGCAGCTTGCACACTGAGCCGTGCCTTGGCTCCCCACCCCCCCCCCTCGTCATTGGCTGACTGGCTGTGATTGACAGCAGCAAGAGCCAATGGCTCCCACTTGCTGTCTCAGCCAATGAGGAAGCAGAGACCTGGGACAGCCGAGGCTGTCATGCACATCACTGGATCATGATGAGGCTCAGGTAAGTATTGAGGGGGCTGGGGGCATTGTTACACACAGAAGGTTTTTTACCTTCATGCATAGAATAGAATGCATGAAGGTAAAAACCTTGAGCCTTTACAACCACTTTAAGTGTAGTAAAATCCAACAATAAACTTCTCTGTTTGCTACCTTTTGCTCTGTTAAACATACCATTGTAAGCATTTACAATGCAAAAAATACCTGTCAATCCTGCCAGAAGTCGAGTGAATATCTACCTTCCTGTAGTCAGTTGACTGAAATCTCAAACAATGTAATAAGCCCTCCCAAGTTCTCTTTGTGGTCTATAAAACACCTACCCCCTTTGTTATAGAGAACACCCACCCCCTATTCACATTCACTCTGCAAACCTTATGTTTTCATGCCTTGTTATTTTTTCTTACCAAATGTTTATTTTAGATTAGGATACAGCTACATTAAATAGGTACACTCAAACCGAACCGAACCAATGCCATAAACATACAATGCATGAATGAGGCTTGGTTCACACTGCTGCAACTTGAAAGTCTTGTGACTTCCAGTGCGGCTTTGCATTGCGACTTGATGCAACTTTAATGTTACGTTCATGCGACTTTGGCTAAAAACCCTCTGAATTTGAATACTGTTGCATCAAAGTCGCATCAAGCATGATAATCTTTGTGACTTTTGTGATTTTAACTTTGCAGTCTATGGCACTGAAGTTGCACAAAAGACACAGAAAAGTAGTGCAGGAACTTCTTTTTAAGTCGGTGCAACTGGAGTTGCATTGATTAAGACAGCACCCGTTAAAATAGATATGTTTTGACTTGTCATGCAACTTTATGTGTTACAAGTCGCATAAAAAAAAAATGCATCCGTGTGAACAGGGGCTGAAAATGCCCCATCTGTCCTGAATGTATACACTGCAATTCCCTACACTAGGCAAAAAACCAGGACAGCTGGACAGTTCCCAAACCTGCTAACAAACAGATCAGAAGTCACAAGGCTAGCACTGTCAACGTGGTGTTGGGAAATGCATTTTTAAAAGGCTTTTTCTGCATTTCTAACTGAGTCAGCATAATGTAGAAGTCCAGCTTCTACAAGAGAAATGTGTATCCTTACTTGAATCTTGGTATCCTTTGTATATGTTTCCATATTTGTGCACCTGTGAAAAACATATACAAAGGATACCAAGTAATAGAGCAAAAAAGAATTAAGACCAGTAACTGCTGCTCTCTCTACTTGTGCAGGGTAACTGGTCTTGTATCCGCCCCCTCCTGTAGTGGGTGGACCCACAGGCTATGCAGAGCACAAATCTACTTTTATGTAGGTAATATCTTGATTTTCAAAGACATTTGGTGCACATAAGTTGGAATTATGTTTGTGTCCATTGTATGAAAAATCAAGTAAAAAGCTTTGGCTAACGTTGGACTTATGTAAGTGTATGTGTGTTTCTATTTAACAGCTTTCACAAGTACCATGATACTGACCGAGACAACTGAGAATCTCTGCAAAATTGTTGCAGCTGCTTGTTGCCTTCTTATTACATATATACGGTGTACATTCTAGTTAGTAATGTAACACACTGGTTGCAGGTTCTCACTTGCCATTCTATGTGATTGCTGAGACTGAATGAGAACAATACAACATCTACGTGGCTTAATTTACAATACATATTTATCTTGGCTGGTATTCAAGAAGGCTTATTGCTGCTTTGGGCAAGTGGGGCATTTACAACTCTGTATTTGCAATTTAAAAACTGTAGTAAACCATGTTAAAAAAGAAACCAAACTAGTCCTCCTGCAGGCTCATGTCATAATGCATCACAAAATAGCACATTATGACAGACATACCTAAAATACGAAGCCCTTCAGCGGCGCACTGTCACCAATGACAGGAATTCCATCTTCACTCTGTCTTCCTTCCGGGTTCATTCATTCACTTCGGTCATTTGAATGGCCGAGCCGTGATGACGTAACTGCTGCACATGCACGAGCGCAACACAGCTCAATATGTCTTCCATTGAGAATGCACTGGTGACACTACTGGCTGTTACACATGTAAATCTCTCTCTCTCTCTCTCTATATATATATATATATATATATATCTATTTGCTGTACCTACAGGTAAGCCTTATTATAGGCTCAGCTGTAGGTACAAGATAAACAACGGTGTTTACTACTACTTTAAAATAAACTTAGAGCTGCAAGTAACCACAACTGGAAAAACAAAAATTACTTGCAGGCAATATTTAAAATGAAAAACGTAAAAGCCAACCTAACTTAAAGAGGAGTTCCACCACCTCCCTCCCAAAACAAATGAAAAGTCAGCAGCTACAAATACTGTAGCTGCTGACTTTTAATATTAATGCACTTACCTGTCCAGGGATCCAGCGGTGTCCTCACCCCAAACCGATCCTTCAAATCGGCCAGGTGCTGGTGCCACCACCTTGACGAAGGAAAACCAGCAGTGAAGCCTTGTGGCTTCACAGCTGGTTACCTACTGTGCATGCATGAAGCTTGTTGCACTTTGTACATGGGCCACAGTCCTCTGGGACCTGTGGAGTGTCCCAGAGGGCTGCAGGGGGGGGGCCGAACTTCTGGCTCAATTCGCAGAGATAAACTGAGCCGGAAGAGGGAGCAAGTACCTGTGTATTAGGCAGATAAGTAGAGCTTACACTTTTGGGTGGAACTCCACTTTAAAATGGTAGTAAAGTTCTCTTTAGTAATTTGTACCTACAGGTAAGCTTCCAGTCAAGTTTCCCTATAGGTACCATGAATATCTCCTAAATGTGCACCTCTTAGGAGATATTACCACTGGTAAAAGCCAGTGACATCTTCCGCACATACGCAGTGATGATCTGGATTCAGGGCACACAGTATGCCTTTGAATACAGAGCGCGTGCCATGGCTAGGACTCATGTGCATATACACGGGAGTGAGGTCACTGCGGCTCCAGCCACTCTAACAGCCAGAGGCCATGAACCTAGAAGGAAGACCAGGTGAATATGGAAGCGCCAGGGGATCTGTGACTGTGCAGGTAAGTGTAGAATAGTGTTCTAGTATGCGGTGCATACTAGCACAATATAGGATAAGCCAGCGGGGGGATCCATTTTTTTTTTTTTTTACTACTACTACTACTTTTTTTAATTGTGTTTACTACTGCTTTGAAAGCCATGTCCATCTTTCTGATCCTGTTTCATCCATATTTAGGGCCCACAACTGTAGTGCCACTCTCTATATTAGGATCACCCAGCCTGGAGATAAGGCAAAGATAAGGAGGACCCATTTGTATCATATGACCATCCTGAAAAATCTGGAAAAGTAAGTAAAAAATAAAGCATAAAAAACAGCCATTGGGGGCCACAAGACAAATAATCTGGGGGTGAGGTGATTAAGAGGGAGAGCATGGGGTTAGGCTTTGACTCTATTTTTGTACAATTTCCATAAGAGAGAAAATAAGTTGTCCCCATTTTGAAAAGTGTCTAAAATTAAAAAAAGCTGTGCTGCCCAGATGAACCATTAAGATTATTCCCTTTATTTCTGTTCTGCATTGGATATTGAGATGAACAATCTGGTTGACAGTATAGACAGATTTCTTTCAATCGGTTTATTATATAGGTCTTATTGGGGTTGAATTATTAAAGACACAAAGGCTGTTCACTTAGTTCAGTGAATAAGGGGAAGCTTTGCTGACTTCCATCATCCAATCATGTACAAGCAAAAAACAAGATGTTTTTCTTACAGTAAAATCCCTTTTTCTGAGTTCATTGACGGACACAGCGTCCTCTTCTTTATCCATGACTAAGTAATGTTTTATAGCCCCACCTACAGGAGTAGGACACTTGGCAGAAAAAAAAAAAAAAACAAACTTCGGCACCTCCTATGGGCAGTCCTCTTTGGGCATAAGACCCCCTCTCTGCTATAGAACTCCAGTCAGTCACAAGCAGTGTCAAAGGAGAAAAAAATCCATAGAGGGGTGAGTGCTGTGTCCGTCAATGGACTCAGAGAAAGGGATTTTACAGTGAGTAACACAAAAATCCTGTCAAAATTTTTACCAAGTAATTATAGACCTGTTAGTTTAACTTCTATAGTTGGGAAGATACTGGAGAGTTTAATAAAAGACCACATGAATGAGTTCTTGCTGGAAAAAATATTTTAAGCAACAGACAGCAGTTGTCAAACAAATCTGATTTCTTTTTATGAGGAGGTGAACAAAACCTTGGACAGAGTGGTGGCGGTGGACGTGGTATACTTGGACAGAGGGGTGGCGGTGGATGTGGTATACTTGGACAGAGGGGTGGCAGTGGACGTGGTATACTTGGATTTTGCAAAAGCGTTTGACACAGTTCCCCACACATGGCTTATATGTAGGATAAAGTCTACAGGCTTGGAAAAATCTGTATGTAAATGGATAGAAAACTGGCTAAAAGATCGTATTCAGAGAGTAGTGGTTAATGATTCATATTCTCAATGGTCTAGGGTCGTCAGTGGTGTACCCCAAGGTTCAGTGTTGGGACCCTTACTTTTTAATATATTTATAAACGATATAGGGTCTGGGATTAAAAATCCCATTTCAGTCTTTGCAGATGACACCAAGCTGTGCAGTGGAATAACGTCCTTACAGGATGTCTTCAACTTACAAGCCGACCTCAATGCTCTGTGTAATTGGGCAACTATGTGGCAAATGAGGTTTAATGATGATAAATGTAAGGTTCTGCACTTGGGGGCTAAGAATATGCATCCATCATACATACTAGGGGGGGTACAACTGGGGGAATCAATGGTGGAGAAGGATCTGGGAGTTCTGGTAGATCACAAGGTTAATAATGGCATGCAATGCCAAGCTGCGGTTTCTAAAGCGAGCAAAATCCTCTCTTGTATTAAAAGAGGTATAGACTCCAGAGAGAGATATCATATTACCCCGGTACAAATCATTAGTAAGACCTCATCTGGAATATGCAGTTCAGTTTTGGGCACCAATTCACAAAACGAACATTGGGGAACTGGAGAAAGTACAGAGAAGGGCAACCAAACTGATAAGAGGCATGGAGGAGCTCAGCTATGAGGAAAGATTAGAGGAACTGAATTTATTCTCTCTTTATAAGAGGAGATTAAGGGGGATATGATCAACATGTATAAATACATCAGTGGTTCATATAGTGAACTCGGTGTAGAGTTATTCACCCTGAGGTCATCACAGAGGACAAGGGGGCACTCTTTACGTCTGGAGGAAAAGAAATTTAATCTCCAAATACAGAAAGGTTTCTTCGCAGAGCTGTGAAAACGTGAATAGACTCCCTCAAGAGTTGGTTCTGGCCAGCTCAGTGGATTGCTTTAAAAAAGGCCTGAATTCTTTCCTAGATACACAGAATATAACTGGTAACTAACATTTATAGGTAAAGTTGATCCAGGGAATATCCGATTGCCTCTCGGGGGCTCAGAAAGGAATTTTTTCCCCTGCAGGAGCAAATTGGATCACGCTTTGCTGGTTTTTTTTGCCTTCCTCTGGATCATCTGTGGGTATAGGATTATAACTTTTTTTTTTTTTTTTTTAACTTGATGGACTTTGGTCTTTTTTCAGCCATACGAACTATATAACTATGTATTGTGAACAGCCGATTTACCTTTAGTAAACCAAATCCATTGTCTCTATTTTCATGCATGCATATTGGCCATGACACAATTCTCACCTGCTTCATCTGCTGCAATTCCTGCAGTTCATTCTCCAGCTCTTTAATGCGTAATCTGCAGTTTTCCATCTCAAAGGCCCTTTGTTCCAGCTCAGTGTATTCTTGTAGCACTGCTTGGTACTCTCGCTCTGCTTTCTCCTTCCTCTGGCGTTCCTGGGCCACCTGAGCTCGTAGAGCATTTACCGCACTCTGCAAATGTTCATTTTCCCTCTGCAAAGGCTTCTGAGACAGATCCAGACATGATGCATGCAGGCTGAATGAGTCTTCATACCTGTGGACAAAGAATTCAAAAGTGGATGCTGAGCTGAGGAAATGTCCAGACAAAGCCTACAGTGAAAGACTGGGCCAACCAACCTCACTGAGCGATCTGCACATTTCAGAAAAGTTAGCGTTAGGCCTAATTTACACTTGCAGTTGGGGAGGGGTAAAAACCATGCACATTTGAGCTGGCCCCCCAACCACTTCTCCTTACGCTTCCCATAAGCTGCAAGCACACTGGACAGGTTGTACACAATTATCCCCCCTCCCCTGTCAAGTTCAATGCTCACAGTGTGGTGCAGGTTTTTAGAGGTTAAAACAGTCGGTGAGGTGGTTACGTATCGCAACTGTCAAATGCCCTTTGAAAAGCATTTCACTGCAAATCACTTTTCACAGGATGAAGATAGTTTAACTTATATAGCGAGATAAGTGTTGGTGTTACATGAGGGTAAGTGTGATCTTTATTGTTAGAGTTACAGGCAGGTGAGGGTAAAAGTTATTTTCAGAGCTACAATGGGGGTTGGGGTTAGTGTTGCAGGAACGGTTAGTGTGAAGGTTCGTTTTAGGGTTAATGGAGGGTTTATGCTACAGGGGAGTTTAGCTGGCTGTACGGTAGAAAAACTTTGTTTGAAAACTTTTGTTTCAGGAACACTCGTTCGATTTTTGAATCATTAGTGAGGCCAAATCGATGTCCATTTTCAATAGCAATAACAAGGAAATTTGAAGGAGCAGGGTGGAAATTTTTTTTTAAAATGAACACATTTCTAACAGTGAATGCGGTTTTTCGATTGAGAAATTACCATCATTCTAAAATCATCCAGCTTGGACCAATGCAAGTACATATGTATCATACCTGTGGGATCCATCTGAAAGCAGGAAATCACCGTAGTAGGCACTGCTACTACAGTGATTGCCGTTAGCTTCCAAGACCTGTGCTGAGTGGCTGCCCAGCTGCTTAGTGAAAATAGGAGGTTTCTCGCTCAGCACAGGTGCCATTCAGGGAACACTTTACATTTTCTCAATGTATGCCATTCCCATTCCCTGAAATTACTTCCCTGCCTGTCCACCTCCCCAGAGAACATGTTCTCTGGGGAGGTGGACAGGCAGGGAAGTAATTTCCCAATCTCCACCTCATCCAATCAAAGAGTGCCTTGCATTGAGAAATACAAAGTGGCCTCTGAATGGCGCCTTTGCTGAGCTATGTACACAATGCAGCAGGACAGTCACTCTGCAGAGGACCTAGAAGCTAGCGGCAATAACTGCCATAGCAATTATTTATGTATTTATTTATTTCAGGTACTTATATAGCGCCATCAATTTATGCAGCACTTTACATATATATATTGTACATTCACATCAGTCCCTAACCCTCAAGGGGTGTACAATCTAAGGTCCCTAACTCACATTCATACATACACATACTAGGGCCAATTTAGACAGGAGCCAATTCACCTACCAGCATGTCTTTGGAGTGTGGGAGGAAACCGGAATACCCAGAGGAAACCCACGCAGGCACAGGGGGAACATGCAAACTCCAGGCAGGTAGTGCTGTGGTTGGGATTTGAACCGGCAACCCTAGTACTGCCAGGCAGAAGTGCTAACCACTTAGCCACTGAGCCGCCCAATGTCTACTACAGTGATTTTAAACTACCATGGGGATCTCACAGGTATGGCACATACATACTTACATTGATCCTAACTTGTCCAATGTAACTATGGAAAAACAGCCATACATAAACTTCAATTTTCATTTTTTCACTTAGTTAAATTGATGTTAAAGGCATTTTTAAAAAAATAATAAACATGTCATACTTACCTGCTCTGTGCAGTGGTTTTGCACAGAGCAAACTCAATCCTCCTCTTCTCTCAGCCAATGAGGTGGGGGGGGAGTCCTGGGAGAGCCACTGCTCAGGTGGAGCTCAGGTAAGTATTAGGGGGGCTGCTGCACACAGATGTTTTTTTACCTTTATGCATAGAATGCATAAAGGTAAAAAAACCTTCAGCCTTTACAACCACTTAAATAATAAAAAAAAAAGAGTTAGACTTGCTTCTCATATTTTGTAGCCATTCATAATCTTGCACTCACCCAATACAAGAAGCCAGTTCCCGTACACAGGGGAAGGTATGGATAGTGCGCCGTCTCTCCCTCTTGTCCCTCCTGATGCGTACCTTTTCCATACCACGTAGATCCTCGACTTGCCTCTGCAGATCATCTACTTGCTTCTGTAAACCATCTATAGTGTCCGTCAAACTGCAAACATCATACAAGTAAATTGCAATGGTGATTTTAATAAGTAATTACAGTACACTTTTTTTGTCTTTTGTTACAGAAATTACAGGCCAGTGTAAAATCTCCTCTGGTAATTTATTTTCTCTCTAAATCTAGACCCACGAAGTCAGATTTTAGACTTTAAGGGCTCATTTAGATTAGATGCAGTTGAACTGGCTTTTAAATGCAGTACAATTACATATGCAAGAAAAATGAATGTGTGTATCGATGAGCCTAGTTTACATCATTGTGGTGCTTTAAAGTGACACTAAACGACATCCTTATTCTCCAATAATAATCCATACATATCCACTACCTAAAGTGATTCTAAAGGTTGTATTAGAAAAAAAACAAACATGTTATACTTACTTGCTCTGTGCAACAGTTTTGCACAAAGAAGCCCCGATCCTCTTCTATTTGAGTTTCCAGCTGGCAGTCCTGACTCCTCCCCCCTGCCAAGTTCCCCAATAAAAGTTTCTTGCTATTAGGGCACTCGAGCAGGCTCGCTCCTGAGCCATGCTCTTGTTAATAGACATTGTCAATTCACATACATAGTGTGGCTTGGCCCCACCCTCCCCTCATTGGCTCACTGGCTGTGATTGACAGCAGCAGCAGGAGCCAATGGTTCCCGTTGCTGTGTGTGCCAATGAGGAGAGAGTGACCCAGGAAAGCCATGGCTCTCATGTAAATTGCTGGATTGAGATTGGGCTCAGGTAAGTATAAGGGGGGGCTGAGGTAAGAGCTGCACCCAGAAGGTTTCTTTCCTTAATGCATTAAAGGTAAAAAAAAGCTTCTGCCTTTAGAACCACTTTAATAACCCTATGAACTATTTTTCATGAAATTGCTTCTTACTGTGTTTTGTGCCTCCTCGTGATGCCCTCTGTAAGCTCCTGAACCTCTCCTTTTCCTTCTCAACTCTGCTTGGAACAAGCAGTGCACATTAGTTGAGGTCAAGTTCACTGCTCAATGTACACTACAAATCCATAGTTCATTTCAGAAGCAAGCAAGAGAGGATGGCTACCTATACAGTGGGAACATGGAGTCTGAAGGTAGGCAACCTCAACTTCTGAATACAAATGCACGCAAACTTTTCAGATATTTATTTGTAAAAAATTTTGAAAACCAATTATCATTTTCCTTTCACTTCACACTTATGTGCCACTTTGTGTTGGTTTATCACATAAAATCGCAATAAAATACATTTACGTTTTTGGTTGTAACATGACAAAATGTGGAAAATTTCAACAGGTATGAATACTTTTTCAAGGCACTGTGTATACTTGATTAATATATATATATATATATTTTTTTTTTTTTTTAACCAGAGTTTAGTGTCACACATAAACATATCTCTGTCTTACCCTTCTCCTTGCCCTCTGTCCATTCTATTTTCTCACCTTTCAATCTTTTGTTGAGCCACCTTGCTTTCTTGTACTAAGCGTAAGTTGGTCACTTCCAAATCTCGCGCTACGTTGTCCAGTTGCTCGTAAACTTTGGCATGTTGTTCATTCACCTGACGTAGCATCTCGAGTTGTTTGCTCAGATACTGTAGAGGCAAACATAATGACACAGAACATACATATACCTTTATCAAAGGTTTCAAATGTAGATTTGCAATTAAAAGTCTGTGATAAGAAGAAAAAGTTTAAAGGGTCAGGCCACCTAAAAGTTAATTTTCAGTTTTGCGAAGATGCTAAAGATTTAAAGAAAACTTCCCAACAGTTTCATAGTTAAAAATTATAGAATGGGTCCTGTTACCTCAATTTCCTGCACTTGCTCCTCATTGTTCAAATACATTTGCTGCAAAGAGACTTCCAGTTCCTTGTTGCGCTCCAGTAGAGTCTTGCCTAATTCTGCTGCCAGGTGTAGATCTGCGGGGGTTAGGATAAAATTTAAACACATAGTTCCAATTTGCCCTGTGATTAAGATGACTGTTCTTCATGTTTAACCCTAGCATCCACTTGAGGCTGGGCTTATGAAGACTACCTTTTAGAAGTAGGGTCACTAAACGCCCCCCCCATGAAGTGTAAGGATATACTGATGTTAGTGAAAGTATTATTCTCGAGGTGCCCTTCTCGCATTATGGTTGGAGACCTCTGAAATCAAGGATACCCAGTAATTATATATGGAAGTTTTTTGCACAGTATCAGAAATGTAAAGATTCAATGCTTTGTGTAAGGAACCTGGTTGATGGATGGGATGAACATACACTATATTGCCAAAAGTAATGGGACACCCATCAAAATCATTGTATTCACGTGTTCCAATCACCTCCATTGCCACAGGTGTATAAAATCAAGCATCTAGGCATGCAGACTGCTTCTACAAACATTTGTGAAAGAATGGGTCATTCTCAGGACCTCAAGGAATTCAAGCGTGGTACCGTGATAGGTTGCCACCTGTGCAATAAGTCCATTTGTGGAATTTCCTTGATACTAAATATTCCACAGCCAACTGTTAGTGGTATTATAACAAAGTGGAAGCAACTGGGAACAACAGCAACTTGGCAACGTAAAGCCACCAGTGGTAGGCCACATAAAATGACAGAGGGGGTCACCGCGTGCTGAAGTGCACAGAGCGCAGAAGTCACCAACTGTCTACAGTGTCAATAGCTAAAGACCTTCAAACTTCGTGTGGCCTTTAGATTAGCACAACAACAGTGCATAGCTTCATGGAATGGGTTTCCATGACTGAGCAGCTACATCCAAGCCTTACATCACCAAGTGCAATGCAAAGTGTTGGATATAGTGGTTTAAAGCATGCCACCACTGGACTCTACAGCAGTGGAAACGTGTTCTCTGGGGTGAAGAATCATGCTTCTCTGTCTGGCAAACCAATCGAGTTTGGGGTGGAGGAACTTGACTAGCCTGCACAGAGTCCTGACCTCAACCCAATAGAACACCTTTGGGATGAATTAGAGTGGAGACTGCAAGCCAGGCCTTCTCTGACATCAGTGCCTGACCTTACAAATGCAGTTCTGGAAGAATGGTCAAACCTTCCCATAGACACCCTCCTAAACCTTGTGGACAGCCTTCCCAGAAGAGTTGAAGCTGTTATAGCTGCAAAGGGTGGGCCAACTCAATATTGAACCCTACGGACTAAGACTGGGATGCCATTAAAGTTCATGTGCATGTAAAGGCAGGCATCCCAATACTAATGGGAATATAAGTGTATGTCCAAAGACATAGCAGAGGATTAGTTCCCTTTTTTCATAAAACAGCCCATACAGTCAAAGATCCCCATTAGATGTAAGTGCATCATGCTTTGAAGAAGTCTCTTGCCAACTTTTCAGGCCATGTTGGTCCTCCCTTAAGCCTGCCAAACAAATTCCAAAATGACATCATCACTGTAACGATTGTGCGCAATAGAGACATGGAACCTGTATGTGACAGCCATTTTTTTTGTTTTTTTCAACTGTAACTTTTAACAAACTTCAAAAGAACCTCTTATCCTAATTAAAACACAAATAGACGCAGTGTCCAGGGCTGTAAGCAGCTATTTAGTCTTGGCAGGATGTCTGTTTCAACGAACCATCGAAAACATTTTCCTCTGCCCTATCGTAAAACAATATTAACGCAGTCACACATGACCTGTAAGGCCATTAAGGCTCTAGAAATGCAGAGCATGTCATAAAACGTCTATTCCACATGTAACAATTCCACATACAATACAATCATAGAATTCAACAGGAACAGGGCACATTAATATTAGGTAAATATTTGAATAGGGAATATCATGCTGAACAAATCAAGGTCACTCATAACTATGTTAGCACATAGATCCATTATCTCCTGCGCTCAAAGACTCAGATCAAACAGGCGTTAGTGACAATAAAATTAGTCACTATTTATTGAGGTAATGTGCAAGGTTTGTGCGCTCTTTCTTTCATCTTTCTCTATGTTAGCACATAGGAAAGGGGAGAAAGCAGTCTCTTCCCTCCTGGGTGACAAAGGTACGCTGTGTTTAGTATCCCTGGGTTCGAAATATAATTCTGAATAATTATCTGCCAGTTTGGAGGTTAATATTTCAAAGGACCCAGAGACTTGCCTGTTATATGTCACTAAACTCTCAGTGAAAAAATATAAAAAAATCTGGTTTAATGTATTATCTGAATGCTGCGAAGGGTTTGATACCCAAGTTTTGGAGGGAACAAGAAGCGCCAAAAATAAAGGATTGGGTAGATAAAATGGAGCAGGTATATGGAATGGAGGAACTTTACCATATGGACGAGGATAAGATGGAGATTTTCCGTATAAGGTGGGAAAAATGGGAGGAATTTAAAAAATCAAAGCTATATCTAGAATATAGGTAAGAAAGATGAGAAGCCACAGGAGATAAAGGTAGTATTAAATCAGGAATATTTCTGGATTAAGATCTCTAGAGTGAGTCGAAAAATTGCAGAGTCTAGGTTGCTTAGGCGATGGGGAGTTTGTTGGGAGGTGGGGTATGGGAGGGACAAAAGGATACCAATGACGGATGTTAATATTTTGATACAATATTAGGCAAATTTGAGCTTTAATTTATTCTGTTTGGTTTGTATGTACTGTATGTAATGATAATTTGAAAATTATAATAATATATTTAAATTAAAAAAGTAATCTGCCAGTTGCCAGAATACCACCTGCATGTATTGTTGGTTATTCATATTAGTGTAAATCTGTATTTAGGAATTGGTCGTAAACGTAGTGGCCTCCCAGCACCCATCCCTTAAACTGGATTATTGGTCAGTTGGTCTCTGTCCACACCCCCTTGATATCATACAAAAGGGACTGACAGGACTTGTTAAGATTGAATTCTCGCTTAACATCAACCAAGGAACATCGTAACAGACTTGAGAGCCAAGACAACGTTTTTGCTTGGACAATTGGATTCTGCTAAAACCAGGACTTTGCAAGTATTCTGCCTTCTTAACTCCCTCCTTTTATTTCTCTGTTGCATTATTGTTCTCTTTATTTCTTTGTAACATCCCGTTCTGTAAATATTTAAATTGCACCATTTGACCTTTTCATTAATAAACCCTATTTTGAAAAGTGTTAAAATGACCTCTAAGACTTTTAATGCAAACTAAAGAATCCCTGTCTCTTGAAGAGTGCTACTATATATAATAGTCCTCTGAATATACTTGTCTGGGGTGACAGTGTGTGTTACAGATGGTTATTGTTCACATTTGTTCTTGCTAACATTGTGAAGGGTTGATAGTCCCAAAGCTATCTGGTAGCAGTTTGGAGTTTGAAGGGTTAATTGCGTAATTAACCCAGTGACAATTGCTCTCAGGCTGCTGGCACATAGATTGTGGTCCAATTGTTACTCAAGTGACAGCGCGGTGTGACATTGCCTGGTCCCTTGTCACGTGGCTGGTACCAGGTTCATCACAATCACCTCCATCCTTGGATGCTCACCATTTACCATCACAGGAGAGATTGCTGTTCCTGTTCAAAAGCTGCACATGCAAGGAGCATGCTCTCTTGTCTTGTATCAGCAAAGGCTGAGTTCAACATTATGTGACGAGACGAGAGGTGAGGGCCCAATGGCTATTATGTCCTCGAAAAAAAAAGGATGGGAAGTGGGGGAGATGCTGAATCTAGCCACTGCTGCTTCAGGGCAAGAGAGCACGCATGGAGCATGGGTGGCTTTTGAACAGGAATGGTGCTTTCTCCTGGAGGGTTGAGCGTGCAATGGCTGTAAAGTCCTGGAAACATAACAGAATGTGAGGGTGCTGCCATTCGTTTTTTGGATAGGCTTCGAGGGGACCATGGGGGCATGGTCTACAGGCATGCAACTTGAAATTAAGCAAGACTTCACAATATGATGCATATACATGTACTGGGACCCCATGACTACTTGGGCTCTTTTATCCACAAGGCGATCAAACCCTTCAAAGTAGAAAACTAATAGAAAAATTATACTGCACACTTTCTATCTCTGTAACATTCTACTTTATCTAATAAAGCCTGGGAGATCCTGCCAGTGAGCAGCACTTTTTCTGATAGGGTGACAACTCAAAATGTCCTGCAGTGAATTCACTTCAGCATCGTCACCCTGTCAAGCTGCTTCTACCATTACGTTATGTACAGTGAAGATGAGATCAGCGCTGTCACAGCTGAGAACCCTCCAATTCCAGTAGGTAAAGGACACGTCAAACTCAATCCCCAGGTGCTGTGATTGACAGCATAGCATCGTCCACATCACAATGGAAGAAGAGTGAGCATGTCTGCACAGAATGACGGCTGGGTCCCTCCTTTTGACTCCACTGCTGTAAGAAGGCCTGAAGCCCTTATAATGACATTACAAGGCCTAAGAAGAGGAGCTTCAGGTTGAAGGAAAGTATAAAAAAAAAAAAAATCTGCTGAAACTCACAGGGGAAGGCAGTAAGGAGAGGCAAATGTGCCCGTAGATAGACTTTGGAACTGTGCAAATAGATTGCATTCAAAAGGTAAAATAAAAAAACAAAAAAAGTACTAAAGTAGATATAATAAGAAATGTTTGTATCATGCCAGGAAGAAGCATTGTTGGCCTACATTCCGATGTATGTATGTATGTATGTATATATATGTGTATATATATACACACATATATATATATATATATATATATATATATATATATATACATACATACACACATACACCACAGTGCTCTTCACTATATTTTTTCATATCAAGACAATTTTAGCAAATTTGCAGTTGTGGTAAACAATAGTAATCATTCATGGCATTGATCTTTATCTATAGCATTTCCAACACGGTCTCGCTGACAAAGCAACTTCTGTTATGCTTGATCAGTGCTCTATGAGCTCATCATGGTACATAATCTACAGCATTATATTCTAATTGCATGGTCTGCGTCTGCCCAGATGCTTCTCAACCCCATT